GCAGACCCTCAGTCGACATATACATCCAGGAAGAATTAGCTCCACAGCTCAAGGCCATGTAGGGAGAGCCAAATCTGTGATCAGTTGTTTGGGAACAGAAGAAAATGTTTTGGGTCAGGCAGACAATAACAGTTTTCCATCTGCCTTCATGTCCACTGGTACATCCAATGTGATGAATCCAATCAGACAAATAATGTGGACAAATATTGAAAATAAAAATATTTCTGTTAATGTTTGAATGTGTAACTTTACAAATGTCACTCTGTAGAGTTCTAAGTTTTGTTTAACAAAGTTTGATGGGTGTTTCTCTGCAGCTCTTTCAGTGCAGCAGTGACCRCCAGTGCAGGGAGGGGACCTACTGTCGTGTTCCCGCTACAAGCCCCGCCCACTCCCGCTGCCAGGCCTGCCGCCGCAGGAACAGACGCTGCCGCAGGGACGGGATGTGCTGCCCCGGCACCCGCTGCAGCATCAGTGAGACCGGCCTGAACTTAGAGACCAGTCTGGAAACTTCAGGTCAGGTTCTGATCCAGAGTTCTGRTTCTGTCTCCTGCAGATGTTTGTGTTCCAGATGTGGACCAGGACCTGAGTCCTCCGGCTACAAGAGGACAGAGGAAACGAGGGACCCAGAAGAAAACTTCCAGTAAAGGTAAGTTCTGTGTTCTAGTTCTGGGTTTTGGTTCTTCTTCGACTCATCTGGACTCATCTGGACTCATCTGGGTTTGTCCTGTCTCCAGGCCAGGTCGGGGACCCCTGTCTGAGGTCCGCAGACTGTTCTGACTCGTTGTGTTGCGCTCGTCACTTCTGGACTCGGATCTGTAAGCCGGTGCTGACGGAGGGACAGGTCTGCACCAACCAACGCAGGAAAGGCCACCAGGGCCTGGAGCTGTTCCAGCGCTGCTCCTGTGGGACCGGACTCAGCTGCCGGACCCTGCGAGACCCTGACAACCAGCCTCCATCGCTGCTGTCGGCCTCCCAACACGCCTCCCCCAGAACCACGTCCCTATCTGTCAGAAAGTCAAAGACCAGACTTCAAGTGTGTCAGGAGGTCTGATCTGGACCTGGAACCCTGTCTCAGCCCGGAGGCTCCTCCTGGTCTCTATGATCTGGATGTTAATTGGCTTCAGGTCCGGGTGTGAAACTCCCGGATCCAGTTTTCTCCCGGGTCTTTAAAGACACAGAAACCACTTTGAAATCCAGTTGGACTTCTTTTGAACCCAGCAGGAGAAGCTGATGTTTAAAAATCAGCTTCTGGTGTTTATTAGCTGAAGTGTTTAGCATTAGCATTAGCATTAATTTCAACTTGACATAAAAAACTGAAGTTTTTTTGACCCACATCAGACATCAGTCAAAAATAAAACTGTATTATATTTATTTATTTTCAACTGATGTTTTGCTTTGCTAACTTTGTACAACTTGCTCCGTGATGACATCATACTGTTTACATCTGAGCCGCCATAGTGGAGGATGACCTCCGCGTTAGCTAACCCTGACCTCCGCGTTAGCTAACCCTGACCTCTGTGTTAGCTAACTCTAACCCCAACATTTCACATTATTTATTTTAAACTTAATTATTTCAGACAGAATCTAGAAAATGTTGTACTTTGTTTAAACTTTTGAAATAAATTATTTATTCTGAAATAAATCTTGTGGATGTTTTGTTTGTTAAAAGTTTTTTTGTTGGTATGTAGCTGTAAACAAATGAGTCAACCCATAAAGTAAACAACGTATTATTTAAATATAGATTTGCTCCTTTAAAGTTAAAACACTTTATCAGCAGTTTACCTTGTCCTGACTGTTACCATTCCTCATTCTAACGACAACTTCCTGCAGCCGAAAAAATGTAAACAAACTGTGGATCTTCACTTCTGAACCAGAACATTTACTGTAAAATCCCTTTACAGGAGCTAAAATACTTTTTTCATTCAACTTCTTTGTTTTAATTGATTTAGTTAAAAAACAGGAATAAATTTTGTTTATGTGGCAGGAAGTTGGTGTTGTATGAATCACATCAGGATCGATGTTCCCAGGAGCTCAACAACAGAAGAGTGTCTCTGAGTGTTTTTAGACATAAAATAAATCATCAGWCTGTAGGAAACGAGGAGCAGAGGGAGACGTTTTCTTCATCATRACCTGAGCTGCTTCACCTGTTCAGAACAACACACTTCAGGTTTATCACACTGTGAAACGACACAAACACACAACGAGGCGTCCTGCAGGGAAACGTTTATCAGTTTTATGAGCTGCAGAGCGGCTGATGATGTTACAGTTTAACCAGGAGCCGCTCCTGTAAACACAGACGAGCTCCGGTTCTGTTCGGTCCAGGAACCCTGTCTGCAGGTAACACAGGTAACACAGGTAACAAAGGTAAGACCGAACTTTATTTATCTCACTGTTTAAACGTCCTGCACCGCAATAAAATCCATTTTTACAAATTTATCTGGGAATATAACTAAACTTTGATTGAACTCTTTTTGATTAATAAACAGAGCTGTTTTCATGTTAGGTTGTATCAGTTCTGTCCCTGAACACAGAATCATAAATTATATTAAGCTGGTAGGCGGGGCAAAAAAAATGTATATTTCGATGAAAAGGAAATGTGAGTTTATAAAATTTATGAAWGTAAAAAATCTTCACATTTGTTTCCTCAGATGGCCGACAATCATGTTCTCCATAGAGACATCCTCTCTGACGTCCTGAGCAGGTTGGGCTTTCACCGACCGGATGAGACACGGAGCGTCCTCCTCCTAAATGTGTTGCTGCTGGGCAACAAGCAAAGTGGGCGGAGCTCTGTGGGGAACGCTTTGATTGGTCAGTTCTTCTGAAATTTTGGACAAAAAAAATTTTTTTTGCCAGAAAAATAAAAGAGGATTTTTTCCGTCAGGTGGGGAGGAGTTTCAAACAGGCATCGGTTTGGGTGTTTCCGTTACGACTGAGTGTCGCGTCCGCAGCAGGAACTTTCCAGGGTATTTCAGGAGGCAGGGGGCGGAGTCTGACCTAATGATACGGGTTATTGACACGCCCCCTTCMATGCCACGCCCACACACTCTAAACGAACTCTGTCCTGAGGGCGTGCACGTGGTGATGGTCGTGGTCAGGGTCGACCAAGTGCATGAAAACACCCAGATTCAACGATACGCAGAAGTAAACACAAATAAACAAACAACTACATATACAAACTTAAATTTACAAACATCTATTTTCACCTTGAGGTTTGTTTGTTTGTTTGTTTGTTTATTTGTTTGTTTGTTTCTCAGAGTCTTTTGGGGTCAGAGTGGCACCGTCACACTTTGCTCGTCTTCACTCACGCCGATCTCCTGGAAAAGGCGGGACTTCGTCCATCCGTCTACCTCGCTCACACTCCTGATTCGCTGAGAGASATGGCTGAAGAGGTTGGGGGAGGAGTTTATTTCTTAGACAACTGCTCTGATTGGCCAGCAGTCAGGGGACGTCCACTGAGAGACCAGCTGCTCCGCCTCTCAGCCAAGAACCATCACAAAGCTCTAAGAGTCAGAACAGAGGTCTCACTCTGACATAAATTCTGAAACACTTTATCTCTCAAACTCCATGAAAGATTTCTTGTCCTTCTTTTAAACATAAAATAACTTTGTACTTTGTTTTATTTGCTGTAGATTAAAAAATATATTTAGTTGGGCTTCATCTAAGCATATTTGGGAAAACATTTTTAGATGAGATCCACAACCCAGAAATGAAGAACGSGTGTCATCATGTTTGAATTTCTGGAGGCAGGATATCATCCAGCTGTTCCACACATCTGTAATGTTTGGAGTAAAAAAATTTAAATAAAATACAAAAATAATGAATATTTTGAATGTACCATTGTCGTCTTTGTTCTTCGTTTGCTATGTACTTATTTAAAAAACAGAGAAATTTTAAAACTTTTATTCATCTCAAGTCAGTGATTTTATTGTTGCTGGTCAGGTTTTTCACAATAAAAGCATCCTATCTGATGATGCAGTTAATGAGGGAGGGGGCCCTGCACAGCCCCTTCCCCTTCACCTCYAACCCGCAGCCTTTGTAGTTGGCCACACCTTTGGAGTCCACCTGCAGGTCGGGCTGCAGGAGCTCCCACAGCTTCAGTTTGGACGGCAGCTCCCGGTCCGGTTCACCTGAACAGAACCACACGGAGAAGATGTCATTATTTCTGTGAAAAGACCAGCTCATCACAGCAGTGATGAGGTGTTATCATGGCGTTGTCATGGTTACCAGGATAATTCAGGAAGGTGATTCTGTCTCCAGGGGCGGAACATGCAGGCGGAACCAACACCTCTATYTGGTCGTCGGAGGCAGAGCAACAGAGGAGGCGTGCCTGTGAGACCACACCCCTCATTTTTGATGGCTTGACGTTGCACAGCAACACGGCTAAAGAGCCCTGCAGCTGCGAGGAAGAAAATAAAGATTATTTATTTTAAACAACACAAAAACACCAATATTCTGAAGATAAAAGTAAACTTTTTGACTGTTCTGGTAAAACATACTGCCCCTACTGCATACTACCCTTACTATGTACTATCTCTATTGCGTACTACCCTTCATCCAATCAAACGTTCATGTACTTATCATTTTAATTTTATTATTTGCAAGTCAGACTGGGCCTGATATCCTATTGTACATATTTTTGTTCTGTGGGCGAAACCAAAGTACCCAGAAAAACATGTACGCACAACAATATGCAAACTCTACCAATAAAGACCTCAGGTCCAAACCAGGAATCAAACCTAGGACCTTCTTGCTGTGAGGCAGCAGTGCTAACCACTGATCCATTGTGCCGCTAAATGATTGTATTGGTTTCATGTTCATGACTTGTTTGTGTACATGTGCGTCTTGTTGAAATACAAAACTCAGAGCGCCATCTAGTGACCTGGAATGGAAACTACAGGAGATGTTTTAGTCTGCTCTAATCAGTTATTTCGATCACAATAATCATAATCATAATAATCATAATTAAATGTGGAAAATCTTGAATGTCTCTGGGAGATTGTTCACGTGTAAACAAACGATGTTTTTGTGGACCTGAACTGTCGTTTTACCTCCTCTGGGTCTGTTTTCCCTCCCAGTCTGCTGACGACCGTCCAGGAGGATTTTTCTCCCACGTCCACTTCCTGGACGCTCATGGTTTCTGACAAGGGATGGCGGCGGACGCTGAGGATTCTTCCAACCCGAAGGTCCAGACGGGACACATCTATTCGAGACTCCGCCCCCACAAATAACGGGTCTGAGATGGGTTGAGCTAAAGGACAGAAGAAGCACAAATCAGTCTTTTGTTTCCTCTCCTCAACTTCTTCTTCCTCCTCTTCCTCTCACCTTTCCTSTCCCCCCTCCTCCTCCTGCTCTGCCTCTCCCTCCCCCCATGTGACGGAGCAGAGGGAGGGTGAGGATTCACAGGAACAGCAGCTGTTGCTCCAGCAGGAGAGGCTGGTTGACTGGTAGGTCTGTTAGGGGKGGGACTAAGACTCTGAGGAGGTGGAGCCTGAGAGCTCAATGCTTTAGCTGAAAAACAAAAAACAAAAAAACTGCAGAATCAAGAAGGCCAGAACTCAGTCTGGTGTCTTCAGCTGTGCTTATTGTTTGACCAACATCAAAAGGATTTAGACTTAATAAAGTTTTGATTAAAATAAAGATCAGACTTCCTGTTGTGCATGTTTTATGTAAATATTGCAGCTTAGAGAGAAATAAAATCAACTGCAGGTGTTAGTTTGCTTCTGTCTGTGTGAGAAGATCACAAGATGTTCAAATAWCTGGAAAGACGGAAGATTTGATCAAAGTTAAGACACAGTGGTATTCAGGTCAAACGTAATATWTTACAGAGACACATCTGCAGTAAAWAGATTACATGTGAGGACATTTTAAACAAACCAGACACATCTGTAAGACAAAACATTCACTGAAACAATCTGTCAAACGTGACAGATAAAAACTGAAGTAGAAAACTGATAATGCAACCATATGATCTGGGCATCTTCCTGCTGTTTTCTTAAATATTTCATATTGGATGATGAATGGACTACTGGAATAGGACAGTAATGGGCATGGGAAGATAAGATATACACACACACACACACACACACACACACACACACACACACACACACA